ACGCTATCCTATTTGCATGAAATATGCGATAACCACNGCTTGAGCACAATCTTAAGATTCCTTTTTATTTGTTAAATGTAATTATCTCGTGAATTATCTATGCTGACGTAATATTTATTTTATATTATCGACAAAACGCTATCTTATGTGCATGATATGCAAATTCTTTATTAAATGTTAAATCTAAGCTGACGTATTATTTATTTCAATGTAATCTATCCAATATCATCATAAAACACATTAAAAACGTTTTATTTGGAATTCGTTTGTTAGTTGATTGAGTTTTTTTCACGGAAGAATAAAGATGTTGCCTTTTTCGCCATTCACTCCAATGCTCTTTTTAACCATCGCCAGTGTTGCAGTCGTCGATTTGGTGAAAAGTTGCGATAAGATTCCTCCCGACGGCCAGTTATGCCAGGCTATTAATGATGGTACATTGAAAGCATTGGTTCTTACTGGGACAGGCTTTACGGGAAAATGTGGAGTAGCGATAACTGATGAACAGCTGGAGAAATTAAATGAAGTGTCCGTCAGCAGCGGCGCAAACGATCTTGTAAGATGCAAATTAATTAAACTTGTAATTTATATATTTTTTGGATCATTTGTAAAATTAAATTTGCAAATTCAAAAACCATTAACATATTTGGGATATATCTAAACTAACTGTAATTTAATTATGAAATCTACATCTACAGTGAAGCGAATAATTTTAAATTAAAATTCAGACTCCCGGTGACAAACATGTCCTTCTGATGGCCGGTCCACACGATGGCCCTAAAGATTTTAATGATTCTCAAGCTGACGAAAAGAAGAGATTAGATAGATATGTTTCACTGCTGTGGTTAAAGACCGGTATACTTGTAAGACTTTGATGTATAATTTTATTTAATTTTATTTTTTAAACGTCTCATATTAAACTAGTTTTTTTTTATAATATTTTACATTCATCAAAAAGGGCTCAGCTTTAAAAACTGGAGTCAAACCTAAGGTTTATGATGATAGTCGTAAGTTAAATTTTTCAAATATTTTGAGTTTTTTGTACATTATTTTACCCGATCAATTTATTAAAGCAAATTATTTAATGCTGTAACCGTTTTTCTAATTTCCTAAAATTTTTCAAAACATATTTTGATTTTTTTTTCAAATTTTTACGCGTTATACCTTAATCACTTCAAATAACCTGTTGTGTTGTAACTGACATGCAAATTTATTCAAAAAATTGCCCAATTTATAGATATTATATAAAGTGGAAAAAATTATTATAAATAAAATTTTTATTCATTGCAGCGTTCAAGAAACCAGAAAAATTAAATGCATCATATCAGGTCTATCTTTTCAAACAAGTAACTGACCGAATATTTTTAAATGAGGAATCCGCTGATTATGAAATTACTAATGACGAAAATATGTTTTTCTCCCTTTCGAATTTTGTAAATAAGAATTTATTATGCGAGCATTTGTTAGGCACCTACGAGTTTCGTTCCGTTCCAAATATTCCCAACAAAAAAGATACTACCTCTATGCCAAATACGGAAAAAACTGAAAATACAAAAAAACCATTTCCCGTTAGTACTTCAGTTCCGAATGAGGCAAATAAAAGTGGCGCTGCAATCTCTTTTGTGTCCTTGCTCGTCATCTGCTTACCTACTCTCAACGTGCTGAGGGTTTTCAAAATTTACTGAGTTGCCTGCATTCAGTTGTTCCTTCAAGAACATTGCCGGAAAAGTCAATTAGGCACCTAATGTTGTTTTTATGTAGTTTTTTGCAAATTTTTTTGTTAAAATAAAAGAAATATTTTATGCTTCCAAAATATCTACTTTTGATTTTCTGGGATGGAAAACATTTGAAATATGAAATTATCTAACTTGCTAATAACACGTGGAAACATTTTTTTATTAAAAAAATAGTATATCAATCAATCAATCAATCAATCAATCAATCAATCAATCAATCAATCAATCAATCAATCAATCAATCAATCAATCAATCAATCAATCAATCAATCAATCAATCAATCAATCAATCAATCAATCAATCAATCAATCAATCAATCAATCAATCAATCAATCAATCAATCAATCAATCAATCAATCAATCAATCAATCAATCAATCAATCAATCAATCAATCAATCAATCAATCAATCAATCAATCAATCAATCAATCAATCAATCAATCAATCAATCAATCAATCAATCAATCAATCAATCAATCAATCAATCAATCAATCAATCAATCAATCAATCAATCAATCAATCAATCAATCAATCAATCAATCAATCAATCAATCAATCAATCAATCAATCAATCAATCAATCAATCAATCAACCAAAATCAAAAATACTTTCTATTTACCAGAACATAACACGAACAAAAAGTATGTTCGAATAACATTCTGGCTTGGAGACCAAGCAAGTTTAACATGGATGAACTTTATAGGCCACCAATTAATTAAAACACACACATATATATATATATATACATACACAGATATTGACATGAGGTTGATTATAATAGTTGAATAGAATATATATATATTTATGTATATATATAATATATTATAATATATTATATATATATAATATATTGGTATGGTATGGTATGGAGAATTTATATAGCGCCTCTCTATGTAAAACTCAGAGGTGCTGTTCGAGAAGCTGCCGGTCAAAAAAGTGATGTTTTATATATATATAATATATATATAATATAAATATATATATACATATACATATATATATATATATATATATACTTTAATTACAATATTCTATAAATTCTACCGAATTTTTGGAGTTTATATGTTTGTAGTTCGTTTTTTCGATTTTTCTCACTAAAGTCTTTTGGTGAACATTTAGTTTATTAAAATTCAAAATAAACTTATTTACCGATGACGATTTTTCTAAAATTTTGGAAAGTGGTCTTAATGGCCTTATTTGCAACATGAATTCGGAAAATAAGTTTATTTTGAATTTTAATAAACTAAACGTAAAAAAAATAGGTGCCGATGTTGGTCGACCGACATTTTTAGCAGACGATCCTGCGTTCCGTCATGAAAAAAGCACCGTTTACATGAATAAAAAATTTTAATCCGCAAATGAATGGCGATAATTTGTAAAGAGTCTCATGTTAGCAGGCAAAAATAAATTCAAAGTTTTCTATGAATTGCTAATAATAGACAGTGCTTCTTTTAATATTCTTACAATTGAATTTTACGGATGTGCCACTGTTCACCATGGAGAATCTGA